AAGACGGGGCGGGGCGGCTGGTTCAGGAGGCGCCTTCCAGGCCCTGAGCAGCTCTTGTTTCAAACGGGCTTGGTGGCCCCCAACCTTTGTACCTCCGAGGTGTTCTACAGACCCAGCGGTTTGCCAGAGTGGAGTCACGCCCCGTTGCTCAGGCCTCGTTTCCTTGAACAAGGCGCATTATCCCTCCTAGGCAGAGTCCCGGCTTAGCCCGTCTCTGCACCTGTTCCAGCCATCTCCCTTTTTAGGTGCTAGCCTCATGTGCACCATTGCAGATTAAATCTTGCCAGACCTTTCTTCAGTGGAAGAAATGGAAATGTTTTGCTCTTGTGCATGGTTAAATTGTATTTGCTGTTTTCATAGCCTATGCCTGATGCTTTCAGGTTATCTTGTCGGGTTCGAATACACTCTTGTCTGATTTCCATTTCTGGTAAGGATTTCTGAGATAATGTGTTAATCTGTTTCTTTATAAGTGCAGGACGTTGCACTCCATAATCCTCCGACTCGTACTATTTTTTGTAATGTGATTCTCCCTTGTTTTCTTCCTGATTGCTGTTTCTGATTTTGTGCCAAAAGTGTCTTCCTACTCGTTGTGTCAAAGTCATTAATTAAAATGTTAAATAAAAACTGATCCCAAGGGAGTTCACTGTAGGTTTTCTTCCAGCCTCTACTTAACCTCCATGTTATATAAGATAAACATAAATGTCAGCATAGCACCATTTCAAGTGTTTAACAATGTCCAGATAAATGTAGTCTATCACGTTTCTCCTCTTCCTAGAAAAATCACTGATTTTAAACACATCAAGTAAGTTTAGCAGGATTTTTCTTTGGGAAGCCAGAGTTGGGCTTCGTGTCATTTTCTGTTAAGTTTCATGTTTTTAATTATTCTTTTCTTAGAGCTTGTTTTAGTATATCGCATACTGCTGTGGTAAGAACAGCCTGTAAATTTGAGTTAATTCTAAATACAGAAAAAGATGCTGGGGCATGTTACCTTTTAGTCAGGCAAATTGCAAAGGCTTGAATTTTGACTGCCGGGGATAATAGCTGCGGAACAGATGTTTGGTATATTAGAAGTATTAATAAGCAGATACTTTAATAGTTTGTATCGTTTGCTTAGTATGAGCTGCTGTATTGAAGGGTTTTAGAAAATAATAAAAATAAGTTTTTGAGTATTTGATTTCATGTTCTGCCACTAGAAGGAGATAGATAAATAAAATTATGCTTAGAGAGCTTGTTCAACATTTCTGATAGGTGTTTTTAATGAGCTTCTAATTTTAAAGCTGTATGTAAATATCGGTAACTTTAGCTAGTTGATCTTACGCTGTATGATATGAGTACATGTGTAATAAACCCAGTCTTTTAATAGTTCTTAACTGCTGGTTTCTATTTATTAAATAGCTGTGTTTGGCAATTACATTTTTGCACTAGGTCTTCCCGTCTTTAGATAAATTGTTGTTGTTTTAACAAAGTTCTGCCTGAATAAAGCAGAATAAACTCTGAATATATGTTTAAAAATTGTCAGAACTGACAGTGCTTCTGTAACGTTACATTAATACCATCATTCTCTTTTTATAGGTGGGAGGAGGCTAAGTGACTTAACTGAAGCTGCAGAAAGCCCTTACAAGAACATAAATGTGTGCCAGGTCAGCCTGTGTAAATCAGACTGGAATGAACCGCTGATGAAAGAGCCAGTACATTTGTTTGCTTTTATACCAGCCTAAGTGTCATGTCGTATCCCGGGTCATCTCAGTCTCCTAGTTATCATGAGTCAGGGCATGCAGTTGGATGATGGGAAATTTTTGGTGCGTTAGTGCCAAATGTATTTTAAAAGAGACTACCTCATGGTCAGGCTAAACTTACCATGGGAATTAGTGGTTTGCATTGGTCTGTCATATCCTGGCAAGAGTATTTCAACAACTTGTCTCTTAAAAGAGATTGTCCTTGGAGTCTGCCAGGGAGATTGAACTGCTTGATGAGATAAATATGGAAATACGTGTTTTGAGGATCCAGGTTTTGGGTTTCTAAGGCTTCAGCTAACGATCCTGTCAGTGCTTGAACAGATTTATGTGTGCATGTCGCCAGAGGCAAGTACCTAGGTGGCACTTAGGTCAGTTTGAGTCAGTGATGACCAAATGGTAAATTTGAAATAAATGGTCGTGTTTGAGATCTAGGTATGTAATATGTGTGCAGTCGTTTCAGTGGGTTCACTTGCAATTTGAGCACGTTGATGCATATTTTATTTTGGGCTCCGTAGTTTGCAAATTTTAGTTGTGAAAGTTCATGAATTAGAGACTTGGACTATATTTTAACAAATAAACATTATTGCGGTTAAGATACATTACAGGAAATCGGAGAAAGTTCACTGAAACACATAATGAATAAATTCTGGCTTTCTACTTTGTCTCATTTTTCTGTCTTCTTCTGACTTTTGTCTTCACGCTTGGAATTCCTTCTCAATCCTTTTGCAGAAGGCAACCGGCCTTTCTCCATCCCCTCCTGAATGCTCACTTTCTTTGTGAGGCCCTGGCACTAGTCTACCTAAGTGAAAGGTTAAATGTTTTGTAAAAGCACAGGGTAAAAATAGAATCTTTGTTTAAGTTCTTGAGTTTTGTCTGTCTGTTTAGACTGTGAGTGCCTTTGGTTGAAAACTTTTAGTATTATGTAGTGAAAAAACACAGAATTTAGTATTTTTAAAATGATAATAGATCATATGTGTGCATGTATACACACACCCACTATATGTATAGTCTATGCATCTGTACTGTTTGCTGACTTGACTGCCCCTGGACCAGCATGTTGTAGTTTCTAGGCTTATTTTAAATTGGAAGCGTAACTAAAATTGATGATGTGACAAAAGGTGATTGCCTGTGAATATCAGAAGAGACACCTCAGTAAAATGTTGCCATGTGAAATGGCTAAATGCAATAATACAGTGTTGTAAGGTACAGAGAGATGCAGAAAAAAGCTTGTGAGAGACTAGTATGTGTATTTCTGTCTCTAGCCAGGGTTACAAAAGGCAAATCAGCCCCAGGACAAAGGTAATTTGCTGATAGTATTACAGAGGATGATTTCCATTTCCCTGCAGCTACATTGCTGAGCCTCTTCTGTTAGGAATTTGCAAGCTGAACCAGCTCGTAGATGCCACACACAAAAAAACCAAAAAAACCCAACCCAGCCTCCTTTATTCCTTTGCATCTGTGCCTTTGTCTTTTCAAAAAGCTCGCTAAAGATCATGTAAGGAAATCCTAGCAACCCTATTAGACAAAGCCCAGTCAGAGAAGAGTAGGGTAAAGTTAAGGGATGCTTTATTTCCACAGTGCTTATTCTGTTTACTATATCTAGTCTAAGACTATGGTGTGAGATGCAGTACAGTAGGAGGGAGGGAAGGAAGAAGTTGAGTGAAGGAGACCTTTCTGTTCCACCAGTTCTTAATCTAGATGGTGTCATTCCAGTTGTCTTGGAATGAGCATAGAAAGCATCATAAGGAGGGAGAAGAGGGGTTGGGAAGGAGACTTGGGCACAGGTGATCCTACAGTATTTTGCTGGGCTTCTGCTTTACTTTTAGCAGCTGGAATCAGATGCCAGCATGGTAGGCGATTAAAGAAGGGGTTAGATGTTCCCCGAGTTCTGTGCTGAGTCTGGAGGCTTCGTGCCAGTCTAGGTGTCATAGACCCTGTTGTTACACAAGGCAGTTGGTCTGCCCAGGTGCTCTGCTTCCCCAGTCTTCCGTTTCATTTCTAGGGATGCTCAGAGCGAGGTCTGTCATGGTAGGAGCAGGGAAAGTTGAGAAGTAGCATGTGGAAGCATCCTACCACCCATTGCACCTCAGCTGTGAAAGGGGAATTGAGCTGGGAAGGGCTGGGGAATCAGGGGTAAAGAAGAGGCAGGCAAGGTTGGGTGCTTCTTGCTGAGAACCCTCCTATGCCTGCATTACACAGGCATACAGTGCTAATGGCACCACCTTCTGCCATTCCCCCAGAGCATGCTGTCCTGTATGGGAGAAGCAGCATGGGGGGAGCATTCT